TGACTCGACACACACACTCGACATCATGACTCAACATTCACACACAATTATAAGCATGAAATATATATTATCCCATGCCCTCATACCATTCCATGCACACACGCATGCACGCACACGGACAACAAGCCGAATGCAAACCGTAGGGTTGCACCAACAAGGGCAGCAGCGCCGGCCTCATCAACGGTCGAGGTTGCAGTATCGCCCTGCCACCACACTCCACATGAGCCCCCTCCCCCTCAGGTTCAGGTTCAGGTGCAAGTTCAGGTGCCGGTGCAGGTTGGTAGTGACTCTTGTGGGGTTGTGGTTGGCATCACATGCACCGTCGTTCCTGCTGTTGCACTTGTACACTTCTCTCCATTTCAACCCCTTTTACCTTCGTCTGCCTTTCCTCTCACTCCTTTCTCCCCCTGCCTCTCATTCCTTTCCCCCCTTCCCTCCCTTCCCTGCCAGGCCTGCACAAGCCAAGGGGAGGGCAGCAGGCGAGCAGCAAGCGAGGGGGGCGCCAAGGCGGGCAGCAGGAGCGCGGGCAGCAGGGCAGCAGCGCCGGCCTCATCAACGGTCGAGGTTGCAGTATCGCCCCACCACCACACTCCACATGAGCCCCCTCCCCCTCAGGTTCAGGTGCAGGTTCAGGTGCAGGTGCAGGTTGGTAGTGGCTCTTGTGGGGTTGTGGTTGGCATCACATGCACCGTCGTTTCTGCTGTTGCAATTGCAATTGCTGTTTCTGCTGTGTGGTGAGAGTAGGCTAGGCTAGGCATGGTGTAACGAGGTGTGGTAATAGGTGAGGTGTGGTATCAGGTATGTTATGGTACCAGGTGAGGTGTGGTGATCTGATTCCCCCCCCTTCACTTCTCCCCCCTTTTTCTCTCCTGCAGCCTGAGGGTGGGAGCACTGGAGCAAGGGCGGGAGAGTGGAGTCCACCCTCTCACTCACCTCCTCCTCTCTCCCTTTTCCCTTGCCTCCCGGCAGCACCCTGCCTGGATCATAGTGGAGTCCCGCCCTAATCCCCCCTTCTCACTTCCCAGCAGCCTCAGCATCATGGCGCTCTGCACGGCTATGGTAGGTACAGGTAAGGAGGCATGGGGGTGAGGTGTGGGGTGGGTGGGTGGGGGGCATGGGAGCAATCGGGGAGTTCACTGCCTTAGGGACAGCGTCCTCTGGGATTGTGCCTTGAGGGACTGGGTGTGGTCGATGGAATCTGTGCGGCACGGCACTCGGTGCTCAAGTAACCGATTTGACGTTAAGGCTTAATGGGCACCGTCAGAGTCGACCGGCCGGCGACTCTGGTTCGCGTCAGCTCTAGCTACGTCAAGGGTGTAGTATGAGTCTTGGGCTGGAAGCAACTTTCCACTACCACACCTCGCTCCACAAGGCTCAGCCTCTGGGGCTGCTGTTTCCTTAAGCAAGTGGGCTCTCTGCTGCTCCTACTGCTGCTGGCAGGTAATGGTGGGGATGGGCTGGGTGGGTGAGTGAGGGACAAGGGGGTTGAATCCCCTTGGGTGGTTGAGTCAGGGAGAAGGGGGTTGAATCCCCTTGGGTGGTTGAGACAGGCAGAAGGGGGTTGAATCCCCTTGGGTGGTTGAGTCAGGGAGAAGGGGGTGGAAACCGCTTGGGTGGTTGAGTGAAAGGGGAATGGTCTGAAACCCCTTGGGTGGGTGAGTGAGAGAGGGTAATGGGCTGAAACCCCTTGGATGTTTGAGAATGGAAGGGGGCATAAATTCCCCAAGGGGGCGACAGGGAAGGGGGCTGAAACCCGTGTGGGTGAGTTGGACAGAAAAAGGGGTTGAAACTCCTAGGGTGGGTGAGTAGAACGGAATGGGGTTGAACCCCTTTGTGTAGTTGAATGGGGTCTGAAACCTCTTGGGTGGGTTGGTGCGAAGGAAAGGGCTGAAACCTCTTGAGAGGGGATGGGCCTGAAACCTTCTGGCATGGTGTGGCATGCTGTAATGATTCATGTCATTGCTTGGTGCCAAGGTTTGGCATGTCATGATGTGGCATGATGTGGCATGCTGTAATGATTCATGTCATTGTTTGGTCCCATGGTTTGGCGTGTCATGGTGTGGCATGGCATGCTGTGTCATTGCAAGGTGTGGCATGGCATGGTATGTCATGCCATGGTGTGGCATGGGATGGTCTTTCATGGTGTGGCAGGACATCATGCCATCTGCAGGCTGTAAATCGCTGGAGGCAAGTGGAGCATGATGGAAGGCAAGCATGACTACTCGGGGACGGGAAACGAGGGTATAGCCGAGAGCTGTATGGCTTATTGGCAAGCTTTTGGAAAGCATTTGCAGTATGCCTTCTGATTTGGAGCTATGGAGCTACTCTAATATGTACCGTTTCTGTAAAGATTTCTCTTATAAATACATTAATGCAAATTGTTTGCTTGTTTACAAAACTTCGGAAGTGTTTCTGATGCGCAAGAATTGCAGTCTTGTGTTTTTTGCACTTCGTATATATTGGTGCTTATCCAGCATGTTTAATGAGAATATCTGAATGTTTTTCGTTAGCAATATGCACTTTTGTTGAGTGGACTTATTATCGCAATCTTTTCTTCCATTCCAGACCTCATCTGATTTCGCACCGAGCCTTCAGCTTCCCTCCAAAGATTTCAAAACTGGGTTCTGACGGAAGTTGACTCAGCCTCTGCCAGCCAATCCCCGCTTCTCCCTGATCATTCGAACCTCAGCGCCTCGAGCCTGTTTTTTTTTTTTTTTTTTTTTTTTTTTTTTTTTTTTTGGTGGACATAAGCAGGGCCTCAGAAGTCAGGATTTTTACCCTGAATTCCTGAAGTTTGACCCTCGTTTTTTATCGTGACCCTGATGTATCAGCCTTTTTTTTTTAACGACCCTGATGTTTCAGTGTTTTTTTATGTGTAACTCTGTTTTTTCAGTGTTTTGTGTTTGAGGACACTGACGAGTCAGTGTTGCATCGAGTTCGACCCTGAAACTAGAAACGGCGCAATCTGATTGGCCCAAGTGTTGTAGGGAGTTCATCCTGTGATTTGCGCCATGACCTGCTACTTCGGCTGTCAAGCTCCTACAGTACCGCCAGCTGTTTTGCTGCACATGGCATCCTTCGTGCCAGGTGGTAAACTTCTCAAGTTCTGATTGGTTGCCACTAATAACCTGTACCCTCTTGACTGTTTTGGCCTCGCAGCACACAAAGCCAGAGGTACGTGTTTCCCTCCAATGCTGGCATCGTGGTGCTGGTGTGGTGTGCTGAGCAAACCATACTCGATGCTATCATAATTTCCCATACTAGCAAAGAAAATCAGTGTTTATGTTATTTAGAACACTGATTGATCAGTGTAATTCTTTTGTGAACACTGAAAAATCAGTGTTTTTTAGATGATGACACTGAAAATCAGTGTTAGTCCTCAAAGAACACTGAGTGATCAGGGTGCCCCAAAACCAATCTGAGGCCCTGGACATAAGTACACTACATGTATACATACATCCGCAGTCGTAACTGTTGCTAGGAGGGCATGAGTAGGTCACAAGTAACCAACCCCCCTTGTCCTTTTACGGAGGTTGAAAAGCTACACCGCCATCTTGCCAGATCGCCTTGAATCCTGCCCTCCACGTCATCGAAGCCTCGTTCTCGTAAAGCCTCCGCATAGCAATTGCCTCGTCAGCATTCAGGTGCCCCCAGGCACCCGCCCTCCTCGAACCACTTCTGCCAGCCATCCTCATCCGCACTCTGCTGTAAATCTTCACGTGCCGTGTGAAGCCAACCGCAATACGCCTCATTGCCCTTTTTGGCTGGAACCGGCTGCCACGGAAGACCGCGTTGCACCTCTCCAACCACACTTGGTGCGCTGTGATGGAAATGATTGCAGCCTCCGGGAAACCGGACGTCGTGCCATTCTTCTGGAAAAGCATGTCCCCGAGAGACCTCATGTCCCTGCCCGGATTCATGCACTGCACCACCTTCTTCATTGCCCCCACCACTGGCTGTATCACCGGGCAGCTGAAAAGACAATGGTCCTGCGATTCCACTCCACCACAATGCGTGCATTTCGCCCTTGCGCCCAAAAAAGGGAGCCTCTCCTCGACTTGGAGATTGTTACTGTGCACCCTCAGCACCACTTCACGTGCCCTGCATGGGGTTGCCAGCGAGTCACGGACTGTGATGGCCTTCCCCCAGTCGATCTTTCTCCCCAGGTCATCCTCCCATTTCAGCTGTTGCTTTGGCTGCACCACCGAGGGTTTCATCGCCTTCCTCAGCTTCTTCAATCGCGCCCGCTCGCCTTTCTCGCAGATTGTAGAATAAAGTAGGCGCGTTCTTGGGGCCCCCAGCACTCCCCGTACTTTCCCTTCTATGACCGCCATAGGAGAAGCGCTCCGGAATTCAACTGATACCACGCTTGCGTACTCCATCGCCGATATAAATCCTTTCTTATCGACCGTCACCCTCCGACCGTAAAGTTCGCCGTTGTTCACGTATTGTAGTTGGTAGTAGAAAAACTCTCCCGACCGATACGAGGCCATGCGGATTAGCCTCGTCTCCCTGAAAATTTCCTCTGCCGACAACTGTTTAAGTATCAGGCCCCTCCACCCCTGCGGCGTCGCTTCCCACGCTTTCAAAGCCCACTTCCTTTGTTCCACTCCGCCCAACTCCCTCTCCAGGTCTGCTTCGCTCTTACGAACCCTGCTGCCGTCTCTTCCTTTAACCACCAAGTCCCCCAGCCGGACGCCCTTCAGACAGAGAAAGCCCGCCTGGTTTCCGAAGGGCGATTTGCCCCTGAAGAAAACGTTACGGTTAAAAAGTAGCTGTTCCTCCTCTGCGTCCCACCTGTGAGCCGGATCGCCAACGACCACAATCTTTTAGTCCCATAGCGCTCTCACTGCGGCCTTCCACCTCATGCCCCCTCCCAGCCAGTGTTTCAGGATCGAAGGGTGCGCGTATATCGTGGCCAGACCGAGCGGGAATGCTGCCGCTCTCTCCCAGAGCCAGTTCCGAAGTGGCTCTTGCTCCGCTAGAGCTTTCCCCAAGCCCTAGATCACCGTGCTGTCGATCCGATGCTTCAGATCAATCACTCCCAGTCCCCCTTCTTTCCGTCCTCTGCATGACAGATCGTAACTCCAGAGTGTAAAGTGCCTGTCCAAGAGCGCCTTCCCTCCAGAGATGAAGTTGTGGCACAGCCGCTTCACCTTAGTCCATACTTCGTACGGCGGGGCGTAAATCTGCGCCTGGAATAGCAGGATCGGCATCGCGTAATTGTTTATGATCGTGACCCGCGCCGAGGTTTTGAGGTGCTTTGTCTCCCAGCAGCTCAGCACCGCGCTTACTTTTTCGAAGGCTTTGTCCCATGCAGGACCCGGCGAGCCCTCAGAGGTGATCCAGATTCCAAGCAACCGCTCCGACGTGTTCTTGCTCGCCCATTTGAAAGGCGACACAATCGGCTGCAGTCCCCTTAAGTTCTTCCCCAGCGGCATCAACGTCGTTTTGTCATGGTTCACCTTCAGCCCTGAGACCTCCGCAAACTCCCCTAGCAGTTTCCCGTCTGCCTCCACCTGCTCTTTCCCTTTTAAGACCAGTGTCGTGTCATCTGCATATTCGACGTATGCTAGGACCCCTTTTACGCCTCTCTTCCTGACCCCCAGCTTCCTTCTTTCTATCTCCTGGCAGAGTGGCTCGACCGCGCATAGGAAGAGGTACGGGGCGAGTGGGCAGCCCTGACACACTCCTTTGGCCATCTCCACGCGCTCCCCTATCCAGCCGTTCAGCAGCACCTTGGTCGCCGCACCATCATGAAGACCCTTCACCCATCCGATGAATTTACTCGGGAATCCCATGTTGCTCGGCGTCGTGAACAGGTACTCTCGTGATACGGAATCATAAGCCTTTTGAAAATCAACCAGCAGCAGCAGCCAGTCCTCATCCTCCTGCTCTGCGGCATCAATCGCGTCCGCTACCAGTGAGACCGCATCGGCGAGACTCCTTCCCGGGAGGAAGCCGAACTGGTTCGGCGAGATCACTTTAGGTAAGACCGTCCTGATTCTGTTCGCCAACACTTTCGCCAGTAGTTTGTAGAAAAAACTGAGTAATGTGATCGGACGATAATTGCCCACATCGTCTCTGCTCCCTTTCTTGTGCAGAAGAATCGTAACCGCCGTCGTGAAGGCTTCCGAAAGTACGCCCGTCGACTCGAAGTCGCGGATCTCCCTCATCACCGCCAGGCCCAGCAACCCCCAGTTCCTCTCGAAAAATTCCTTCGGTAGGCCATCCTGTCCCGTGGCTTTCCCCACCGGCAAGCTCCTGAGCGCCGCTTTCACCTCCTGTTCTGACCAATCCTTGTCTAACTGCAAGCGGTCACTATCCTGCAGCACCCTTCCTTTTTCAATCGGCCATGGTTCTCCAGGAGAAGGCGCCGGCGACAACGCATAGGCCTCTCGGAAGTGCTCCGAAGCCGCCTTCAGCACCTCGCTCGCACCTCTCCGCAACACTCCCTTAAAGGTAAGTTCCGTTATTTCCGTCTTCGCTTTCCTTGACTTAACCAGGCCTGTCAGGAAGGCTGATGGTGTTTCTCCCGCCAATTCTTGCAGCAGCCCTGACAAGACCTGCAGCCTCTCCTTGTTGCTATCCTGATAAAGCTTGAGAGCCGCTTCATTTTTAACCAACTCCTCATACAGAACCTGCGAAGAAGGATCAGCCATCACTTTCCATCTGAGCTCTTCCACTTTCTTTTCCAGATGTAACATGGTCGCTCTAACTCTTTTCCTTTCCTCTGCGACGTGAGCCCTCATGCTTGCACGCAGGCTCGTCACCAGCCTCTCCAGACCTTGCACCGGTTGGGTCGCCTGTGCCTCCACCACCGCCGATATGATGTTCCTGACGCCTTCGCCTCCCGCCTGAGGCGCCTGAAGCCTCCACAGCCCAGGACCATGATCGTCTGCAGATGCCGACTTGAGAGAGACCATTACAGCGAACCAGTGATCCGTCAATCCGTAAGGTACCATCGTGTGCTTCGCCTCCGTTACGCAGCTAAGTAGTGAATGAGAGACTAAAACCCTGTCAATTCTTGTGCTTGTCCTTGCAGATCTTGAGAAGAAGGTGTACTCTTTTTTGGTTGGGTGAAGACAACGGAAGGCGTCCTGCAGGTCCCACCTAGAGCAAATCTGCAAGAGCCGCTGATTTTCCGCCGGAGTTCCCAGCTTCGAAGACTTGTCCAGCTCCGGGTCTGCTACGATGTTCAGGTCCCCGAGGAAAACGGTGTGCAGAGAAACTCCTAAGCTCTGTACGAAGGGTGTTAGTGCCTCTCGGTAAAAAGTCCCCCTAACTGTCGCCTGCGCAGGTAAGTAAGCTGCTACCACTCTGCACCGCAGATCACGCCATGTTACGAGCAGGCTCAGAAGCCGGCCTGACTCATGCTTAACAACCTCCGTGAACCGTACCCCTGGCAGGAAACCCAAGACAGCCACTCCCCCTGCCCTCTGTGCCGGCCCGACCACCACTTGGGCTTCAGATCTAACTTGTGTCCAGAAATTATGGTCGGATGGAACGCGCGTGTCAGTGAGTACCACAATGTCCGCTGCTTTCTTGATCCATTTACCGCATCGTTCTTGTTTCCCACTGCTACCGAGCCCGTTGATGTTGAGCTCGAGAATTTTGAGGTTGTTGTGTTTATTCATTAAACCACTCCTTTGAGCCCCACAGCATCCACGGGCGATTGAGCTTTATTGCGACGAGACAACCAGCTACAGCGAAAGAGAACATGGCACCAACTACACAGCCTGCTCCCAAGATCCACCTTGCGGCTTCTTCCATTCCCTTCCCAGCGCTGTTATCCTCCAGACCGCTGTTTACTTTGCCACCGGTTTGACCATGAAATCCTTCTTGAAGGCTGCCATCTTCTGAGAGTGCTTGCTGGCGCGTGTTGCTGCTCCTTCCGTACGTAGTCCCCCTTTGTGCCTGGCAGATGCTACATGAGCCGCTGCTTGTTCGAAATGGTTCCCCTGCGCCTTCTCGCATACGGTTTGCACACACACCCACTCCTCCCGCATTCCTCCTGTGGAGGTGAGTATAACGGCGGGGTCCTTCAGGATACGCTTCACGAGAGTGGAAGCTTTCAGAGATGCAGCTGCAGGGAGAGTCGAGTGAAAAGCCATCAGTACAGGGTAAGAGTAAAGAATCCAGCGGCAAAGAGCACAGCGGAAGAGGAAGAGGTGCGGAGCAGCTCGGCGTATACCGTTCATCTCATGAACCTTTTTAACCGACAGGTTCCAGTTGGTGAAGTTCTCCTGCCTTGTGGTGATATAGCGGTCATGATAGCGGGACAGGTGCGGACCGCTGCAAAGTTCGCAGGTGAGTGACGGGTAATGGAGCAAGTAGCGCTTCTTCGTCGTCGGGTCCTCCACGAAGTACCTCCAGCGGTACCAAGGATCAGAAAGCGGAAGGGGAAGCGGATGCTGCTGGCGACAACATCAACGACGACGAGGAGGATTTGTCAGATTCGGTCCCAGAGGATGAGGATGATGGATATCTAAGCGATGACTCGGACGAGCACCTTGAACCTGCTTCGCTTACCAGTGCTTTGGCTTTAAAACGCTTCACACTAACCTTGCTGGTGCCGATCTTCAGGAAAGCGGAAGTCAAACGCGCTGCGATAACGATTGTAGCTCTGCTGGATGACTGGAAGGATCAGTTGTCCCCGGATGTGCTGCAGACGACGACTTACCAGGATCTCACGGCAACATATCTCTCCGGCAATCGCTATGGTCGGCTGCAGGTCACCTTCAATCATGTCAGAGACGCCAACTACGTCTGGAATCAAGTCATCAAGCACGAATGCGTAAACGGGGACATCATCGACCTCACCTGGCAGTACCCGGAGGATGCTCACTTTCTTCGTGAACGTGTTTTGAACCCATTGGCGCAGGAGGTTGTCGTTAAAGGAGTGCCGGACGAGATCACTGCTGAACTTGTCCGTCATCTGCTGGTGGTGTCGAAGCTGGTTAAGCGTGGCAGGAGTTCCTTCGCCAGCGGTTTTGGTTTTCATCGTACGCTGGACCCGGTCACCGGACTTGACACCGACCGTATTCGCGGCCTGGTTGTCCCCCATGCCTCGAGCCTCTTGCAACGCGCCGCCTGCTTCCACCGACAGGTCAGCATGCTATTTCGGCGTCAATGCAGCGTCGCTGCTGTTTACGTCATCAAAGCGACGTCGTCCCTGCAGTAGCCGTCGAAGCCGACAAAGCGAAGTCGTTGTTGTTCCTGCCGTCAAAACAACTTCAACTGCGGTTTCGGGCGTCCAAAAAAAATTTCGCCGTCGAAGCGACGGCGCTGCTCTTTTCGTCGTCAGGGCAACGTTTCTGCTACCGTATTTCCGTGGACAACGACGCAGAGACAACGACGAGATGAGAGCAATGACTACACCACCAGCAGCAGCATCAGCGACTAATCAACGGGAAGCAGCAGGATGCTGCTTGGGCGATGGCGTGGCTTACAGCAAACGAGCAACCTGGAAGCAACGACCGTCGGAGGCTACGGTGGTCACGACGCAGAGCAACGATCGAGCAGCCAGGCGTGACGCCTCGGGTGAAAGCGTGGCGCAGGAGCGACAGGCTGGCGACATGCACATGGTACGTGCTAAGGGATGCTTGCAGGGGGGAAGTGCCGGTGAGTCCTAGTGCGTCGCCGCGCAGAGGCAATAGTCATGCCTCTTGACCTTGACTCCAACACTCGAGTCTTGCTGTTTCTAATCCTCCCTTGTCGTTTCTGTGTGGCTGTTTCTCTCCCCATGCGTGTGTGTGCCTCACGGCCTGCGAGACGGACGGAATGGCAGCGAGGTGGACGGAGAATGGGCAGGCTTCCGTTGCTGGCTCGCACGATTGACGACACGAACCGATCGAGGAGAGAAGCGGAACCGTGGCACAAGCAGCAACCGAGCAACCAGGATCGGCGCGCCTCAAGTGAAAGCGTAGCGCAGGAGCAGCAGAGCGGCAAACGGATCACGTTACGTGCCAGGGGGTGCTTTGCAGGGGGGAAGTGTAGTGAGTCGCCGCGCAGAGGCAAGAGTCGAGTCTCTTGCCCTTGCCTCCACCACTCCCCTCCTCTCCTGCTGATCCTAACCCTTTCCTTTTGCGCCGCTTCTTGTTGTGCGTTTTTTCTCTACCCATTCTTTTGTGTGCCTCACGGCCTGCGAGGTGGAGGGGAATGGCGCGGACGTGGACGATGACTGGCGCGGAGCGAGGACGCGGAGTGGCGCGGAGTGGGCGGGCTTCCGTTGCTGGGCCGCACGTTTCGACAAGCGTCTTGAGCGAGGGGAAGAAACATCAATGGAGCATTGGCGCCGTCAACGCAGAAAACACGGTCGCGTCGATCGCGACGAGAGCAACGACTGCAGCAGCAGCAGCAGCAACCGAGCAACCAGGAGCAGCACGCCTGGAGTGGCGCAGGAGCGGCAGATCGGTAGGCGGAGCATGGTACTCGCCAGGGGGTGCTTGCAGGGGGGGGTGAAGTGAGTCGTAGGGCGTCGCCGCGCAGAGGCAAGAGTCATGTCTCTTGTCGTTAGTCGCCACTCCCATTCTGCAGCTAACCAACCATTTCTTCGTGTCTCTGCTTCTGTGACGGCATGCATACATGTGTCTGTGAGTGCGTGCCTCATGGCCTCCAAGCCTGCGCGTGAGTGAGTCGCCGTGTGATGTGATGTGGTGCATCAGTGTGCGGCGTCAGTGCGTTTCAGGAGCGACAGAGCGTCAGTGCGTTTCGCGATGCGGTGGTGGTTGCAACGAGAGCAACGACAGCAGCAGCAACAACAACAGCAGCACCAACAACAGCAGCAAGCAATGAGCCACCTGGAGCACGAGCTGCGCCAGGGCGTTGCTTGGGGTGAAGGCGTGGCGCAGCAACAACCGCGCAGCACGCTTCAAGTGAAGGCGTGGTGAGGAGCAGCAGAGAGGCTGACGGATCATGGTACGTGCCAGGGTGTGCTTGCAGGGGGGCAGTGAAATGAGTCGTAAGGTGTCGCCGCGCAGAGGCAAGAGTCCTGTCTGATTTTCTTGCCTCAAGCTCTCGCCTCTTGCTGCTTCTAAACCTCCTTTGTTGCATCGTTTCTGTGTGGCTGACTCTCCCCATGTATGTGTGTGCCTCATGGTTAGCAGTGACGTACGGGGAATGCATGGGCTGCCGTTGCTGGTTCGCACTAGAGACAACCCGGAGCAGCACGCCTCAAGTGAAGGATCATGGTACATGGCCAGGGATGCTTGCAGGGGGGTTGAATTGAGTCGTAGGGCGTCGCCGCGCAGAGGCAAGAGTCGTGTCTCCTGCCCCTGCCTCCGCCACTTGTTCGTCTGCTGTTGATACCTGCAGTAGGAAGGGTGTGTGTATCAACAGCAGTCGACAAGACGAGCAACCTGGAGAAGCACGCCTGGAGCCTGGAGCACGGGGCACAGCAGGGTGCTGGTTGGGGCGAAGGCGTGAGAAAGGAGCCGCAGGTTCTGCCAAGGAGGAGAAAAACCGTAGATGGAGCATGGTATGTGCTAAGGGATGCTTGCAGGGGGGGAGTGTAGTGAGTCCTAGAGCGTCGCCTCTTGACCTTGTCTCCACCACTCGCCTCTTGCTGCTTCTAACCCTCCCTCCCTTGTTGCATCGTTCCTGTGTGGCTGCCTCTCTCCCCGTGCATGTGTGTCTGTGCCTCACGGCCTGTGAGACGGACGGGAACGGCAGTGAGTGGACGGGGAATGGATGGGTCTGCCATTGCTGGCTGGCACGAGAGACAACCGTCCAGCGAGAGACAACCTGGAGTGTGTGGCACATTGCTCTTTGCACGGCTGCCTGTCTACCCGTGGGGTCTTCACAACAAGCTTCTTCTTTCCCAGTACAAGAGGTAACCGGGACAAATGTGCATCCTGCGTTATGTTCAAGTCTCTGTCCGTCCTCCAGATTCCATCTGCCATCTCCTCTGGTGTGACGTGTTCTCGTTTCTTTTCTCACGCCTCTCCTCCTTTTCCTTGCCATC